ATCTAATGGTCAGTGACACGGCTATGCACAAAAACAAAACATTGTATACCGCGATGGGAGGGTATTGTCAGGTTACCTCTGGTGTCTACCTCGGAGGAGGTTAGACACCTAGACGTCCATCCTCCTAGGGGGGCTGACTCACCCGATCCTCGCAGTCCTCCCGGCCGTTTACACGCCGGCCGCGATAGCTCCGCCTCCTTTTATGACGCGGCGCTCAGTAGCCGACGTCATGACGGCAATCACGTTCCGACCCGTCAATCACGGCAACCAAGTGCCGAACAACGAATCAGGACTCGTTGGGGGCGGGGTCAACAGTTAAAGAGCCAAGGTATAAAAGAGGGTTTTGTGGAATGATTCATTGCCCTGTCGTGGTTCTAGCTAGTCTGTTCACTCAGTGCTCTTACCTCTATTGTCTTTTGGTTCCTGACTCGGCTTGTATTTTTTGACCCTGCTTTCCTCTCTTGTCCTTTTGACTCGGCTTGTCTCTCGCTTACCTACTCTCTCGTTCCCTCGACCTCGGCCTGTCTCTGACCATTCTTTGCTTTCTCCTTACGTTAGTCCGGCCATTCTAAGGTCCGGTATACGTACCTATCTCCTGTTTGTATTCTGCGTGTTGGATCCCTGTCACGATCCTGACATTACGACAGGGCCAATGGATCCTGCAGGTACAAACTCTCAGGTCGGTTCTCCTGACTCTAGATTTGAGGCCATGGACCATAGAATGGACCAGATGGCTCTAGCTCTGCAAGCGTTGCTATCTCGTCCTAGTAATCAGTCAGAGGAGATGCGTACCCCATCTATCTCCCCTGTAAGTACAGGCCTAGAGGTAGCCACAGTGGGTGCTTCTTCCCGTGTTACTTCCCCTTCACGCTATGGCGGCTCTCCTGACACTTGTCGAGGCTTTTTAAACCAGATAGGTATTCATTTTGAGTTACAACCCCACGCCTACCCTACTGACAGGGCGAAGGTTGGATTTATAATCACGTTGCTCATTGACAAAGCACTTAGATGGGCTAACCCCCTGTGGGAAAATGATAACCCGTTAGTTTACAATTATAATGCTTTTGTCGCTGCATTTAGGAGAACTTTTGACCCCCCAGGAAGAAAGGCCAATGCAGCTAGACTACTGTTACGTCTTAGACAGTATAACCGAACCCTCGTGGATTATGCGTTAGAGTTCAGATCCTTGGCGGCAGAAGTCAAGTGGAATGAACAGGCTTATATGGACGTATTTATAAACGGGTTATCTGATGAGATTCTAGATGAGGTTGCCACAAGAGAACTTCCTGAAAATTTGGAGGATTTGATTTCATTTATTTCCCGAATAGATGAACGTATGAGACAGAGGCAGAATACTCGGGATAGAACCCGCAGATCCTCCATAAGACTAGCTCCCTCATTTCAGAGTTCTGATTCTACTACTTTAGCTGCCCCAGAACCTATGCAAATAGGTAACACTCGACTCTCAGAAGAGGAAAGACAGTACAGGAGAAGGGAGGGGCTTTGTATGTATTGCGGAATAAGAGGTCACCTACGCCTAAATTGCCCTAACCGGCCGGGAAACGCTCGCACCTAAGTTTCTCAAGAGGACAGGCCTTGGGTGTTTCTATCTTGTCCTCTATATATGATTATAAAGATCATAGGCTTCTGATACCTGTTTCTTTAGCTTGGGAAAAGGGAGTACTTAATGCTATGGCTTTGATAGATTCCGGAGCAGCTGAAAGCTTTATTGACCAAGCCTTTGTCACTAACCATTCTATCCCATCTCAGCTAAGGGATACACCCTTGGCCGTTGAGGCCATAGATGGTAGACCATTATCTGAACCTGTTATTTTCCGTGAAACCATACCAATTAAGTTAACCATTGGTATCCTACACGAGGAAAGAATATCCCTCATGCTGATCTCATCTCCTTCAGTTCCAATAGTCTTGGGGTATCCCTGGCTTAAGAAGCATAACCCTACTATTGACTGGGAGCTGGGTGAGATAGTCTCCTGGGGTCAGGGTTGCCAGAGAGGATGTTTACAGAAAGTCTCACCGGTTTGCATAGTTGACGCCCCGGTTAACTCTTCCCAATCTACAGATTTTCAGATACCGTCTCAGTACCTGGATTTAAAGGCAGTCTTTGACAAAAAGAAGGCTGATACTTTACCTCCACATAGGTCCTTCGACTGTAAAATTAGACTCCTGCCTGGTACTATGCCTCCGAGGGGTACGGTATATCCTTTATCCACTAAGGAGAACTTAGTCCTAGAGGAATACATACGTGAAAACCTAGACAAAGGATTTATTAGGAGATCTTCTTCTCCGGCCGGGGCCGGTTTCTTTTTTGTGGATAAAAAAGACGGCACTCTACGGCCTTGCATTGATTATCGGGGCTTGAATAAGATAACTATTAGAAATGCTTATCCTATTCCTTTGATTACTGAGCTCTTTGATCGACTGAAAGGCTCCAAGATTTTTACCAAGTTAGATCTGAGGGGAGCTTATAACTTGGTGAGAATTCAGCAGGGAGACGAATGGAAAACGGCTTTCAATACCCGTTATGGCCACTATGAGTACACGGTAATGCCCTTCGGGCTTTGCAATGCACCTGCAGTATTCCAGGACCTAATTAATGAGGTTCTTAGGGAATTTCAGCATGAATGCGTTATAGTATATTTGGATGATATACTAATACACTCTAGAGAGATTGAGACTCACCACAGACAAGTCAGAAGGGTATTGCGCAAACTGTTACAACATGGATTGTACTGCAAATTGGAAAAGTGTAGCTTCGACCAATCTCAGATAAACTTTCTTGGCTACGTTATTTCTGGAGACGGATTTAGGATGGACCCCATTAAACTCCAATCGATTTTAGATTGGCCATTGCCCAGGGGACTCAAGGCCATTCAGAGGTTTATCGGATTCTCCAATTATTATAGGCGCTTCATTAAGGGTTACTCTTCTATTATTGCTCCTATTACCAATATGACTAGACAGGGTGCTGATACCAAGACTTGGTCTACAGAGGCTCTCTCTGCTTTCAAAACACTCAAAGAACATTTTGCCTCAGCACTGATATTAGTTCATCCTGACACCTCTTTGCCTTTTCTACTCGAGGTAGATGCCTCGGAGACAGGTATAGGCGCTATCTTGTCCCAAAGGCTAGGTTTGGATAAACCGTTACATCCATGTGGTTTTTTTTCCAAGAAATTATCTGGGCCTGAAAGTAGATATGACATTGGTGACAGGGAACTGTTAGCAGTCATTATGGCTTTAAAGGAATGGAGACATTTGTTGGAAGGGACTTTATACCCGGTTACTATTTTGACGGATCACAAGAATTTGTCCTATATAGGGGAGGCCAAGCGCTTGTCCGCCAGGCAAGCTCGTTGGTCCTTGTTTCTTACACATTTCAATTACGTGCTCACTTATAGACCTGGTTCTAAGAACTCTAAGGCAGATGCATTGTCCCGCCAACATGAACCTTCTACGGTGTCTGAAGCAGCTTTGTCTTCTATCGTTCCCAAGTGTAATATTATTGCCAACACGTGTATCAGGATACACTCGCCGTTGCTTGCTGAGATCAAGAAAGTACAACATCTAGCTCCCAAACCTGTTCCTGGGGCTCGGTACTTCGTTCCTCCTGAGCTCCAAGTGGAACTGCTGCATTGCTTTCATGACAGTAAAGTTGCTGGGCACCCCGGCATACGCAAAACGTGTTCCCTGATTTCTAAAGATTTCTGTTGGCCTTCTTTTCGTAAGGATATAAGGGATTTCGTTGGGGCATGTGCTGTCTGTATGAAGACTAAGCAACCTCATGCGCTCCCATGTGGGCTTTTGCACCCCTTAGAAATTCCCGAGAGACCATGGTCCTGTTTGGCTATGGACTTCATTGTCGATTTGCCTGTTTCTAAAAAACATACTGTTATTCTCACGTTGATTGACAGGTTTACTAAAATGGCTCATTTCGTGCCCTTGCCTAAACTGCCCTCGTCTCCCGAATTAGCTGAGATATTCGCGAGGGAGATTTTTCGTTTACATGGTATTCCCTCTGAAATTGTTTCTGATAGAGGTTCCCAATTTGTTTCCCACTTTTGGAAGTCTTTCTGTTCTCACTTAGGCATCAAGTTGAATTTCTCATCTGCCTATCATCCCCAGTCCAACGGAGCTGCCGAACGCACCAACCAAAAGATTGCACAATATTTGCGTTGTTTTGTTTCTGAACACCAGGACGATTGGGTTGGTCTGATTCCTTGGGCAGAGTTTGCGCACAACAATCTCGTTTGTGATTCTACTCGTTCTAGCCCCTTTTTCTTGAATTATGGCTTTCATCCTTCCATTCTTCCGTCGGTTTCCCCTTCCCAAGGGGTTCCGTCGGTTGATGTTCATGTCGACAATCTGAGAAAGTTGTGGGATCAGACTCGACAAATTCTTCTTCAGAATTCCTTGGTGTTCAAACGACACGCTGACAAACGGAGACGGGTGGCTCCGGTTTTTGCCCCGGGTGATAGGGTGTGGTTGAGTACCAGAAACATCCGCTTGAAGGTTCCTTCCATGAAATTTGCCCCTCGTTACATAGGCCCTTACAAGGTTCTGTGTCGGATTATCCCGGTTGCATATCGTCTTGCCCTTCCGCCTGCCCTGCGCATCCCTAACTCTTTTCATGTTTCTTTATTTGAAGCCTTTGGTTTGTAACAGATTTTCCTCCGCTGAGTCCTCCCCTCTCTCTGTCCAGGTTGAGGGTCAGGAGGAATATGAAATCAAATCCATTCTCGATTCTCGTATTTCTCGGGGGAAGTTGCAATATCTTGTTGACTGGAAGGGGTATGAGCCTGAAGAAAGGTCTTGGGTGGGCCATGAAAATGTGCATGCCCCTCGTCTCCTCCGGGCATTTCATGCTCGTTTTCCGTCTCGCCCCGGTTCCTTCCGCCCGGTGGGCGTTTCTGAGAAGGGGGGTACTGTCAGGTTACCTCTGGTGTCTACCTCGGAGGAGGTTAGACACCTAGACGTCCATCCTCCTAGGGGGGCTGACTCACCCGATCCTCGCAGTCCTCCCGGCCGTTTACACGCCGGCCGCGATAGCTCCGCCTCCTTTTATGACGCGGCGCTCAGTAGCCGACGACATGACGGCAATCACGTTCCGACCCGTCAATCACGGCAACCAAGTGCCGAACAACGAATCAGGACTCGTTGGGGGCGGGGCCAACAGTTAAAGAGCCAAGGTATAAAAGAGGGTTTTGTGGAATGATTCATTGCCCTGTCGTGGTTCTAGCTAGTCTGGTCACTCAGTGCTCTTACCTCTATTGTCTTTTTGGTTCCTGACTCGGCTTGTATTTTTGACCCTGCTTTCCTCTCTTGTCCTTTTGACTCGGCTTGTCTCTCGCTTACCTACTCTCTCGTTCCCTCGACCTCGGCTTGTCTCTGACCATTCTTTGCTTTCTCCTTACGTTAGTCCGGCCATTCTAAGGTCCGGTATACGTACCTATCTCCTGTTTGTATTCTGCGTGTTGGATCCCTGTCACGATCCTGACACATTGACAGAAACAAAAGGTATGTAACTCCTAAATAGCAGTGGTTTGAGCAGTGAGATTTCGGGGGCATGATCTATACATATAACAGATAAGGACCAGCGCTTTTTACATAAAAGAAGTATAAAAAACCAATACAATGGGTAACAGATATATTCAGATTAGCTGCTAAACATTCATATGGTGCTTCCAACACCTCAAGTAAAAATAATCAAAAAACAGAAAAATGTAGCGCTTGTGAAGCTCAATATTTACTTGTATGATAGTCTCTGAGGAATGTGTTCGGTATTGGTAACCAAGTGCCTAAAACAGAAAGTAATCGTATATAGTGCAGATGGTATATTATGAAAAGATCTCTTTTATAGAAATATAAGATTAAACTCACAAACAAAGAGCTGTAAACTCAGCTCTAGTTGGTATCGCTTTTGGATCCGTTTAGGCGATCCTCCCCTTATCAAAGTTTTTTCTGCTGGGTCCGTATGGGTGGTTTTTCCTCTTCTTTGGTTAGTTCCCCATATTGTAGTTTTAATCCTAAGAAGAGGGCAAAAACACGGACGATTGCGCAGCACAATTTCGATTCTTTTATAAAATAGTATAAAATCCCAAATGGGTACTTACAAGCCTGGAGTCAGATATTATGACTCAATTTTCACGTATTGTGCAGTGTGGGACTGCACTCCCATCAAGCAACGGCAGAGGCAGGTAAGTTAGGTAACTCCAGAATTTCAAATAATATTAAAATTGGCTTTATTTTAAAATAAAAGGGCATAGATATGCCTGAAATCTATTAATAAAACAAATAACATCAATATGTTAAAGTGTAGAAAACCAGAACGCGTTTCGCCACTATCCTGTGGCTTTTTCAACTGGATATATTAATACAGTATTACTGTT